CTTTTTTGTTGTTATATACCTGGATGACTGAGAAAACAAACTTTGTGCATTTAACGAGTACTTACATTTATTATCTGCACTTTTGATACATTTGTTTGCATATGTGCAAAAAATGAATCAACTAAGTGATACAGGACGGTCATCATGTGTTACTGCTGGTGCCAAAGATTTAGAAAACACTTCATTGTTCTTAAAAAAATCTTTATTACTAAAAATAAAAAACCTGACAAAATACTGTACACACAAGTCCCTACATATACCCTTTACTCAGTTTATATTACAAAACATTTACATCACTGGATGACCAGTCACCTTATAAAATTATTTTGTTTCATGAGCTTCAGTCAAAAACAACCAGGAACTATTGATTAATTAAGAAAATATTAAATTCTCCAACACCTGGAAGTAAGAACTGGACAGAACGTTAAACACAAGTAATCAACATTTTGAATCATTGTAAAATATTCATGTTTCCCCAGCACTGAAAAAGATGATTCTTCCTCTGGTTGCCATGACGATCCTCAGGTGAGGGTGGATGCTTCACCTTTCCCACCCATATTTTTATGTTGTCGGTCCAGGGAGTTGATCCGGCGACCTTCCAATCACAGGCCCACCTTCTCTAGCCTCTGCACCACCACTCCCTCTCTCTGTATACAATAAACTTTCAAAATAATGTACAAATAAGACCCAAAGTTACGTTTCAAACCACAAATTGAAGCAGTTTGATTCATTTATAGAACAAGATGTTTCGTAGTGTTTTATTACCGTATTTTTCAGACTATAAGACGCATCTACAATCCTTTAATTTTCTCAGAAATCGATCCAGTGCGCATTATAGGTAAAAAAAATACAGTAAGTCAAGTTGTGAAAACATTAAGAAGGTATTTGTCCAAGCAGGAGTGAAAACTGCATGTGATCATCTTATTTTTACTCAGTCACATTTGGCAACTCTTCATTTTTAGTTTGTGCACTTTTACTTGGTTACATTTTATTGTTTTAATCAATTTGCCTGACTGAGGTGCGCTATTAGATCCTTCACTTTACAAAAGATTATTAGGACTAAAGTGACAATAGTCCAAACTATCAGTGCAGAGGCTGATTTTATACACTGTAAATGGACAACCAAAAAAAAGAAAGCAAACCTAAATATTGAGAGCAGATGCTACAAGTTCCTGAAAAGTTTTGTTTAGCTAAAGACACATTCATATTCCTGCTTTAAAGAGCATATCTTTCACGTCTTCCTTTTGATTCCAGTGAACTTTCTGCTGGAGAGAAAACCACGTTGCTCTTTAACGAACACCATGGCTTCAGTTCAACCCGGCTAAATTACAAATCTATGAAGAGTGAACAACTCAGGGGTTTAGATCCTGGCCTCTAATGAGAGAAGAACGATCTTTGAAATAAAAGCAGCTCTCTACAGGAACCTACATTTAGTTTGAGTACCCGCCACCATGTAAAGAGGGCAACCGTGATTTCATGTACTAGAGATGCACAATATTATCGGCATGGTATCTATCGGCTGATATTAGCGATAAAGTTAAATATTGGACAATGGCCATTCCATCAAAATAACTCACCGATATAAAGGTGATGTTCTTGTATGACAACCCAGTGACATGATGACCGCAGCGCCAGAACGTTATGACGTTGTGTGTGTCGTGGAGTTTAGATTTGTGAAAATTTACAAATTTGCACTGTTCGAGTGATGTCATTGTGTTAGAGAGTAAATGTCATGAATAAATTTGACATTAAACATAATCCAAGTTGAAGCGTTACATCATTTATGACATCTGCATTGAGTAGCAGGCCAAACTGACAAAGAGCATGCAGAATAATCTAGTATTTTAATTACACAGCAGAGAAACTGTGTAGTCTCTGTAAGTATTCTAGGGGGAAAATATCGGTATTGGTATCGGATATCGGCCAAAAAACCAATATCGTGCGTCCCTATCATATGATCATCTAGTAGAAAAATGTCTCATGAACCACTCGACGTAATAAATGGACGTACATCCACAGCTAATACGACATTAGCAAACACAAAAATGGTCATAACCAAGTCGTTTTTGCAAAACGTGAGCTCAAGTTTGGTGCGGTTGCAGCCAAACGTCATCCCAACACATACCCAAAGTGCCAAGATCTGTTTAAAACTGGCGTGCATGAGGCAATCCTGCAAGGAATGCTACTTTTTAATTTCACCAGTTTTACACCACGAGGACAACAAAACATTCAAAGCTGTAACAATCTGCTCCTCTTTCTGTGAAACAGCTGTGGGGAACACTGGCTGGAGCAACAAGCCCTGAAAGACGTTCATCTACACAAACATGAGTCGGATCCAACAGTTTTTAGGCACATTACAACACAGCAAGAGTCACGTAGTTCTAGGTACGAATCAGGATTTATAAAAGTTTTAATCAATGGGACAACCATTGTCACAGAAATGGTTTCAGCATCAAACTGTCTTGAAGGTTAAAGGAATGACATGAAGGCGGCGAGTCTCTGGTTGTCAAACACAATCTAGTTCATTTTTGTTCAATGAATCACAAATCTTTGATCAGGATCGTTTCAATTTGGTATTTTACCAAAAGCTTAACATTTAGCTCAAAATATCCTGATGCATGCTCAAAAATCCAGGTATAAAAATCGAACGAGGTTGAGTCTAGGGGTGCACCGACTGCAGTTTTCTGGCCGATCACAGATTTCTAAAAAGTCTGACCTGCCGATTCTGATTTAGTTTAATAAGCAACACTGTCAGGAGTTATAAGGTCACAATGCACCTTCAATTTTCTTCTTTTTTTAGTGAACAATATCCTAGAAACAATACACACTTGTCACGAGGTAGTGAAATATAAATGAACTTTAGACAATTGTTAAAACTACAACAACAAAAATTGGTAAAATCGGTTTTCATGCTTTGACCAATTTCTGATTTCCCAAAATTAAAGACATCAGGGCCGATGAATCGTCCGGACAATTTATCGGTGCACCCCTAGTTGAGTCAAGTCTTTTGGACAGATTCTTCTTTGTTGAAACGTTTCGTCTTTTATCCAAAGGACTTCTTCAGTCTGAGGAGCTGCAACAAACTCAGTCTTATAAATAGCACCTTCTCCATCAGTTTGTTGTTGACATCCAGAACTAGCTGTTCACATGATGAAAGAGCACCATCAGCCTAACAACTGATCGTTAGTGCCCTGATGGCCACTTGCTATTCACAGAAGGCTGAGTAATACTAACAGCAATGAAGGTGAATGTACCTGGTGAGTGAATGTATGAAGGCGAGTGACCTTCATTTTTGAAGGTCACTCTTTCAGGGATGAAGATGTTCACATCCTTGATAGAGGAACAATGGTTTGAGAGAGGAGTAAAGGAGGCCATCTTTGTGAAAAGAACCCATCCATTATTAAATAAGGGCGGAGCCTCCATGTTCAACTGTCCCCCTCTTACAACGCTGTTATTGCTAGTATCACTCAGCCCTCTATAAATAGCAAGCAGCCATCAGGGTGCTAACGATCGGTCGTTCGGTTGATCCTTTTGCAGGTGAACAGCTAGTTCTGGTTGTCAACAACAAACTGGTTGATCCACTCTGAGAAGGTGTTATTTATAAGACTGAGCTGAATACAGCACCTCAGACTGAAGAAGTCCTTTGGATAAAAGACAAAACGTTTCAACAAGAAGAATCTGTCCAAGACGACCTGATTTAACCTCGTTAGCCTTGACATGTAGCCTTACCTCTAATTTAGCAAACGTACCGAGGACAATCTCAGACATTAACCATACTCGTCGGCCTTTCTCAGAAATGTTTCTTACAAACCGACCGACACCCAAACGCTGTTACAGGAGAGATCGGTTCAGTTTGTGTCACATTAACAGACCAGCTGATGTTCAGAAAAACAGTTCCCCCAGCAGGACACGGCTGCTAAATACTCACAGGGATTTACGGTTTTCATGGTTCCAGAATTAATGTTGGCAGAATGTTTTTTGGGAACAAAGAAATATCTTTTTTTTTTCAAATGCAAAAATATAAACTTAGATATTTTTATTTTTAAACTTTGAATGAAAATATATATTTGTTATCCAGTGGGACATCTAGTTTTTTATTAGCAGTGTACATATTCACAAAGTCAGCGGTGAAAAAATAAAAAGATCCCAGTTTTCTGCGACGGCCGACGTCTGTTCAGTCTCAGCAGCTCATTCTTCCCGTGATGAACTGATCCTACGAAGCGTCTCTGGATATCCAGCCGCTCTCTGTGAGGAAGGTGAGGATGCGCTTCTTGAGGACTTTGTCCAGATAGCTGGGCAGCCGGCTCTTGGCCGGGATGCCCTGCCGCTTCTGCAGGTGGTCCTTGATGATGATGGTTTTGACGGTGAGGTAGCGCGTGGGGCTGAGGTTCAGAGAGTTACACAATACCTTCTCCCGATCAGACAACAGCTCAAAGCCCGTTAAATTCTCTATGGCTGCAAACTCGCCATCTTTACCGTCCTCTTTGAGCCCACCCCCCAGCCCTCCCCCTCCTCCCAACCCAGCCCCACCGCCCAGCCCCATCCCAGAGCCAAGTCCAGCTGCTCCGGAGCCGCAGCGTTTGGAGGCCACCACGCTTTTGTTCTCCTTGCGTTTTTCCCGTTTGTGGCGCGCCGCCTCGTACTCTGCAGACTCCTCCAGGCGTGTGATGCCGTTGCGGCGGTAGCGCTGCAGCTCGCGCACCTTCACCCTCAACATTCGCTCTTTGTGCATGTTCTCGAAGAACTCCTCGAACTCACGGTGGGCCATGAACTGGCAGAGCGCCCGAAGCCTCACCCGCTGCTCCTTCTCCTCTTTTGTAATCTTTCTCTTAGGCGTGCTTGGGATGGGGCTGGACCCGGATCCTGTCGTAGCGGCTGATCCGACAGCTCCTGCTGCTCCTTGTCCACCTGCTCCAACAGAAGCTCCTACAACTCCCAGACTCCCCGGTTTCTCCTTCTCCTTGTCCTTCTTGTCTCGGCCGAGGAACACAGGCACCAGGTTGTAGTCCCGAGCGATGTTCTTGCGCCGCTGGCGCTCCCTCAGCTTGCGCACATACATGTCTACATGGGCGCGTTTCAGCTCAATCTCAACGTCCTCATCATCGTAGTTGACCGACAGCCCGCTGATGAGCTTCTCTGCGTCCTGGTCGTACTCAATTTCGTAGTCGTCGCGCAGCGGCATGTAGCCAAGCTGCTGCTGCTCCACCAGACTTATGTCCAGCGGGGGGAGCGGGGTGGTGAGGCTGGGTGACAGGGGCCCCCCGCTGGGACAGGTATGGTCTGTTACTCTGTTAGGAATGCTGTCAGGGATGCAGGCTTTGCCCAAGTTACCGTGGATGTACATGGTGACATAATGCTCCATGACTTCCTGAGGAGTCCGGGACGCTCCGACATGAGCCGCCATGTCCTCCTGAGACAAAACCAACAAGTCAGAACAAAGGAACACGGAGAAAAGAAGAATCAGAACGAAACAGGATTTTCTTGCATTAAATTTAACAGTAGGAATCAACATGGCACCTGGCACATTTACAGCATAGACTACTGTATTTTCCAGCCTATAGTTAGTTTTTTTTTGTATAATTTACATGCCCTGCGACGTATACACCAAAGCGATGTACTTAGGGAGTTTTTCCCCATATTTATAAACCAATTTTTGGCTGAGATGTGACCATTTTCATTCATTCTGACTGAAAATATTGAACACTACCATTTTCAGCCACTAGATGGCAGTCGAGCAGTATGGCATGCCATCGTGTCATGAAATAGGTAAAAGTGGCTATTAATGACACAATCAGCTTAACATAGACTGCAGGTTCGTCCAGCTCCGGGATCATGCCTTGAGCAACTGTCAAATCAGCTGCATTTCGCTGCGCCGCCCCGGCGAAATGCAGCTGATTTGACCGTCAAAGTGCATTTATTAAGGAAAAGTTCAACTGAGACACACTTTTACTATAATTTCGAGCACACAAATAACTGTTTTTAAGTGTTAATCTTGTTAAATTCTTGTTAAAGTTCTTCTGTGCACGTTCCCACAGCCACCATTTGACAGCCAATCAATTTTTGGCACAACACTGGCCCACATTTCAGGGTCGTCAGCGGTGACGCATAAAAAACGCGACGCGTCAGCGGTGATGCATAATAGATGTGACTTATACAGCGAAGCGACATGTTTATTTTTTCCACTTTATCAGACATATTTGGACTGATACACGACTTATAGGGCAGTGCAATGTTTACGGTGAAAAATACAGTAATATCTGCAACACATTCAGAGGCAAGTTGTTGTCTGTGGATAGGTACAGTGGTTCTTAAAAATCTGTGAATCCATTAAAATTTTCTATATTTCTGCATCAATATGAACTAAAACATCATCAGATTTTCACACAAGTCCAAAAGTAGATAAAAAAAAACAGTTAAACAAATGAGACAAAACTATTATACCTGGTCATCAATGATGAAAATGATCCAAGATTATATATTTGTGAGTGGTAAAAGTATGTGAACCTTTGCTTTCAGTATCTGGTGTGACTCCACCTGTGCAGCAACAACTACAACTAAACATTTCCAGTAACTGTTGATCAGTCCTGAACACCTTGGAAGAATTTTGTCCCATTCTTCTGTACAGAACAGCTTCAACTCTGAATGTTGGTGGTTTCCTCACATTAACTGCTGCTTCAGGTCCTTCCACAACATCTGGATTGGATTAAGGTCAGGACTTTGACTTGTCCGTTCCAAAACATGAACTTTATTCTTCTTGAACATTCTTTGGTAGAACCACTTGTGCTGAGGGTCATTGTGTTGCTGCATGACCCACCTTCTCTGAGATTCAGTTCATGGACAGATGTTCTGACATTTTCCTTTACAATTCTTTGATAAAATTCCGAATTCATTGTTCCATCAATGATGGCAAGCCATCCTGGCCCAGATGCAGCAAAACAGACCCAAACCATGATACTACCACCACCATGTTTCACATATGGTATAAGGTTCTTCTGCAGGAATGGAGAGTTTTCCTTTCTCCAAACATAACACTTTTAATTTAAACCAAAAAGTTCTAATTTGTTCTCATCTGTCCACAAAATATTCTTCCAGCAGTCTTCTGGTTTGTCTATGCGGCAGCACAACGGCTCAGTAGTTAGCACTGTTCCCTCACAGCAAAAAGGTCCTGGGTTCAATCCCCAATTGGACCTGAGGTCTTTCTGTGTGGCGTTTGCATTTTCTTCACGTGCTTGCGTGGGTTTTCTGGGTACTCCAGTTTCCTCTTACAGACCAAAAACATGTTATTCTGCCTTCAGGCAGTCAGTCAATGTGAGAGAGACCTTCAGTCGTTACAAGTTACACTGGGCTCCTTTGTGACCTCGACGACTTAGCCTTGCTCTTGAAGTGATCTTTGTTGGTCCATCACTCCTGGGGAGGGTAACAATGGCCTTGAGTTTCCTCCATTTGTACACAATCTGTCTGACTGTGGATTGGTGGAGTCCAAACTCTTTACAGATGTTTTGTAACATTTTCCAGCCTGATGAGCATCAACAACTCTTTTTCTGAGCTTCTCAGAAATCTCCTTTGTTCCTCCATAATCCACTTCCACAAACATGTTGTGAAGATCAGACTTCTTCTTCTTATTGGGGTTTTATGGCGGTGAGCAAACAACTGAAAGGTGCATGGCCGCCACCTACTGGTGTGGAGTATGGACTGGATCAAAAGATCAGACTTTGATAGATACTGTTCTTTAAATCAAACATGGTGTCCACTCACACCTGATAATCATCCACTGATTGAAAACACCTGACTCTAATTTCACCTTCAAATTAACTGATAATCCTAGAGGTTCACATACTTTTACCATCACAAATATGTAATACTGGATCATTTTCCTCAATAAATAAATGACCAAATATAATATTTTGTCTCGTTTGTTTAACTGGGTTCTCTTTATCTACTTTTAGGACTTGTGTGAAAATCTGATGAAGTTTTCGGTCAGATTAATGCAGAAATATAGAAAATTCTTAAAGGTTCACAAACATTCAAGCACCAGTGTACAACTGCTCAGTTTTCAATTTAAAGTTTTGCTGTTTATTTTTGTGAATTGTGTTTAAGCCATGTTGAACTTTAAGTTAAAACTTTAAAGTTAAAAATTGTTAATGAGTTTTACAGATTTTTTTACAGAACGTTCATCTGAAAGTTGATGGCGTTACTGTAACTTTTGAAATGTTTCAAATTTTAAATATTTTGCAAACTAAATCTTCTTGCTCCTACAGTTCTTTGTACCTTCTTACACTCTCTCTTACTGCAATAGGACGTGTGGTTTTTTCCACATACTTTAATTCTCTTCAAAATGGACCTGAAGGTTGTTGTTTTTAACTAGTCATAAAAAGTCATGTGTGAAAGTGATGTCTTCTGCTGCTTATGGCTGAAGAATTCTTAATATATAGTTTCATTCAGGCACTGGAAAACTTAACTTGAAAGTCAAGGGAGTGACAGACACAGTGTCTGGGTTACCATGGTGACCATAATGAGCAACAGGCAACAACTTTAACACTTAGTTTGATCTTTGCACTTTCTATAACAGATATGCATCAAAGTGTAGAAGTGTTTTTGTAAAAACTTAAATTATAACAAAGTCGTGAGCAGTAGAGCATGGCACTGTTCAACACCTCTTCAGCAATGACCCAATTTTGTTATTAACAAAATGCATGTTCTGATTTTAATTTTACAGTAAATTCCAGCTCTTAAACCCCCTATTCTGACTCATATTATGGATTTATTTCGTGCTGTTAAATATAAAATTAAGTAAGCCCCTTTGTTTTAGAAGTAAAAACAAGAATGCTAATATTTTGCTAACTTTTAGGACTGTGTAAATTAGTTCGAATGGTGTTTATTTATATTTTTAAATCACTCACATTGTAATATTTTTCTCCTTTTCGTCCGTAAATCATAATATCCACTTAAAATAGAACTTTTGTGAGTTTGTGTAAATAAAAGTTCTGTACCCAGTTTCCAAATCCATACTGCTCGATGGCATCGAGCAGCGACTGCTCTTCCCTGCTGCTCCATCCTCCCTCCGCCTCGGGACCCCAGAGTGAGAATAGACCGCCGTCGACCTGCTGGTAGCCGTGCCATCTCCGGTGGTTACCGATTTCCGCCCCCGCCGAGAAGCACTCCGGGCACAGCTCTATATCAGGGCAATCGGTGCAGCGCAGCCGCAGGTTTGTAACATCCGCGAGGCAGTTAACGCAATACTTCTTCCCTAGGTCGGCCATCTTGCCTGGCGGCTCTCGCTTCTTGTTGTAGCAGGCAGATCTTCGCGCATGCGCGGAGCGAGCCTAGACGCTTCCATCGACACGCCCACCGTCCTCATTATCATTCATGAAAGGGAGCCGGTGATTGGCTCTCCAAGCTAGTTACCAGGGCAACAGAAACTAAACGAACAGTTTTCATTGACTAACAGCACAAGCCCTTTAACTTCTTTAATGAATTCTCATAATATATATATACTTTTTTATACTAAAATATGAATCGTGAGTTAGAGCTCAACGAAAAGGAGAAAACAACTGTTGTTAATGGTCATGGAGGTGAAGAAGACGATGACTCGGCTGAAATATCAAATGAAGGAGAACTCTCTGCCAGTAGGAAAGTCACAGAAGGCCTCTTTGTTGACGGAGCAGCCACCTGCGTGCCAGAGGAGAGCGCTGCTCTCAGGAACATCACCACGAGCAAAGACTTGGCTGTCATGATAAACAATGAACAACTGCTGTCACTTGACCAAAATGATGCTGTTACCACCGACACCAATGATGGACCTTTGAGCTTAAATGTCAAGACCACCAGTCCAACACTGGAGGAGACAACAGAGATCCCTGCCGCAGCTCTGGACAAAAAAGATCTCAAGGAGTCCATACAGAGGCTGAACAAAGAGCGGGACCAAGCCAGCCAACAAAACAGACTGCTGCAGGAGAGGGTGGTGGCAAGGTTTCTATCAGAGCCATCCATCTCTGATGGTCACCTGGGCAGGGAGAGGCTTGAAGCTGAGCAGAAGCAGGAGTACGAGAGGAGCGTCCAGCTCCTGACTGAGCTGAAGCTGCAGACCAGCACTGCTTCAGCCTCGGCCCAGCTGCAGGCTGATGAGCTGCGGCTGCAGGAACTGGACAAACTCAGTCAGGTCGGTGTTTGTGCAAGATCTCACTCCTTCATGTGAGCTACTTCTAAATATCTCGAGAGGTTTTACGCAGTTAACAGGCTGCTGACTCGTTCTTTTAGTACATTCTGCGTAAACTGCAAGGCATTTTGAGACCTAATTCTCGCATTCACAGCTGCATATGCAGACAAGATGACATGATTTTACTTAGTCTTGATTTTATTTGTTATATTTTAAGTTATGGATATCCAGGGCCATGGACCCCAAATCTAAAGAAAAGAAAAACATGTTACTGCAAAGTAAAGGTTCACATACTTTTACCATCACAAATATGTAATATGGGAAAATTTTCCTCTATAAATTAATGACCAAGTATAATATTTTATCTCATTTGTTTAACTGGGTTCTCTTTATCTACTTTTAGGACTTGTGTGACAATCTGATGATGTTTTAGGTCATATTTGTGCAGAAATATAGAAAATTATAGAGTTCACAAACTTTCAAGCACCACTGCATGTTAGGTGTAAAAACTGACCACCACTTTAGTTTGAGGAAACTACGCTGTCTAGTTTGTATATTGCTTTAAAGTATATCCAACAAAGTTCAATCAGGTCATCTGGGTGTTTCTTTTTTGTTGAGACGTTTCGTCCTTCATCCAAAGGACTTCATCAGCCCGAGGAGCCACAACAAACTGAGTCCCACAAGCAGCACACCCACATAGTGGACCAACCAGTTTGATGGTGATAAGATAGTTTCTAGAGTCCGCCCTCTCCCCCGTCCACTCCTCTGAGGCAGCCATAGTCAAAGTGGTTCAAAACATCAAAGTCCATGCTCAATAACGCAGGTAAAAAAAAAATCCAGCAAAGTTCAGTCAGGTCATTGGGACAGTTTCTTTTTTTTATTTTATTTTTTTTAGACATTTTGTCCTTCATTTAAAGGACGTACGAAGGATGAAAAGTCTCGACAAAATAAATAAATCGTCCAGATGACGTGACTGAACTTTGTTGGATTTTCTACCTGTATTATTGAGCATGGACTTCGATGCTTTAAAGTATAGTTTCCTCAAATGATTGGGGTGGCTGAAGACTACCGGTAATTTAATGAAGAGGGGCCAAGGCCACCAATAGCCACCCTCTGGCTCCGCTATTGTGCCTGGTGGTGGATAAAATTGCTCTCGCCAGGATCTGTCGCTGCCTCAGACAAACAAAAAATAAACCACATAAAAAATGACAACCTTCCTCTTTTCTTCCACACAGTGTACCCACATGAATATCTTGCACCACAAACATCAATTCTCTGCTTAATTCCAGCGCAGAAAAACACTCATCTCGAAAACTACAAAACATTCACTATTCAAGTCCCTCAGCGACAGGGGACATCAGCACACCGCTTGTTATTTAAACTTTGTGAGAGAGCTCAACTTACTGGGTAAAAACATCTCCGTGTTTGTTCAGGTGGAAGAGGAGCGGCGAGCGCTGGCGGCTCTGAAGGAAGCTGCAGCTGTGGGCGCGCTCGGCCGCAGCCTGGGGAAAGAAGCAGCTCGGGCCAAAGTACAGTCCGTCTTGAGAGCAGAGCAGCTTTTACAGGATGAGCTGATCAAGGCTCTCCTTCAACACTCCAAGCTGAAGTTCAGAGTCGGCAGGCTGGAGGAAAAGCTCCGTAAGAAAGAGGACAGTGACTTGAAACAGATCTTCTTGGAGCAGCAGCAGATCCTGAAACTGGAGAAGAAAAAACAGGCTGAAAAGCCGAGTGACAAATCACGACAGCTGCAGACGGAGATCAGCAGCTCCTTGGAGGTGAGGCCATGAATCCAGGTGCAGTGTTTGCTCCTACCGTATTTTCCGTCGTACACGTCGCGGCGCCCTAAAAGTCGCATCACTACAAATATGTCGGATAAAGTGGAAAAATACAAAAAATACGTTGCTTCGCCGTATAAGTCGCATCTATTACGCGTCACCGCTGACCACCCAAAATGTGGGCCGGTGTTGTGCCAAAAATGGATTGGCTGCCAAATGGCGGCCGTGGGAGTGTGCACGGGAGGAATTTAAAAAGAATTCAACAAGAGTAACACTTAAAAACAATTATTTGTTTGCTCGAAATTATAGCAAAAGTGTGTCTCATTTGAGCTTTTAAGTGCACTTTATCAGCTGCATTTCAAAAGTCGATACGCGGAAACATGAACACGCAGAGGGCGACTCACTGTCCATTTATTCGACATTTAACAAGATAAACTGATTTTTTTGCTACTTTTCCTTTTAATTATCCTTTTAATTACCATTTTATTTTCCCTTGTTTCAAACAAAATCAAATTTGTACGCATCTTTTATGATTGTCTATTGTTGTCGTTGTTGTCCACTGTTGTCACCATCTTTGTTAAAACCAGGTCTCTCTTGTAAATGAGTCCCCGAGGCTCAGTGGGATTAACCTGTCTAAATAAAGGTTGAATGAACGAAAAGATGACAGTTGCAGTCTGTGGCAAGCAGATTGTGTCATTAATAGCCACTTTTACCTATTACATGATACAACAGAATGCCTTACCACTTTGCTGCTACCTAGTGGCTGAAAATGGTAGTGTTCAATATTTTCAGTCAGAATGAATGAAAACAGTCATATCTCAGCCAAAAATTGGTTTATAAATATGAGAAAAAATCCATAAATGTGTCGCTTCGGCCAATAAGTCACATGGCATGTAAATTATGCAAAAAAAACAACGACTTATAGGCCGAAAAATAAAGTAAATAAAAAATAATGCAATGAGAATGTCTTAACATGGTTAAATTAGATTAATCTACCTGGATTATTGAGCATGCATCAGGACAAATGATGACAATGGTTTGTCGAAATATTTCTGAGCCTGTGTATTTATGTAAGAACAGAATTAGACCTATTATATATATATAT